AGGTACCATACCACAAATGGAAGGCTGGGATTGATTTTGGGGGTAATTGCCTCAAAATTTTAGGAATAAGGGGCCAAAAAGGGGCAAAAAACAAGCATTTTTCTAGTTTCAGGACAATAACTTGTGTGTAAGTGTATGGATCTTATGAAATTGTAGTACAAGGTTCCAGATCACAAAGGGAAAGCTGGAATTGAGTTTGGGGGTAATTGCCCAAAACGTTTAGGAATAAGGGGCCAAAAAGTGGCCAAAAATAAGCATTTTTCTAGATTCCAGAGAATAACTTGTGTTCAAGTGTATGGATCTCTCCGAAATTGGACTGCAAGGTACCATACCACAAACTGAAGGCTGGATTGATTTTTGTAGTTGCCTCAAAGTTTTTGGAATTAGGGGCCAAAAAGGGGCAAAAAACAAGCATTTTTCTAGTTTCTGGACAATAACTTGTGTGTAAGTGTATAGATCTTTATGAAATTGTACTACAAGGTTCCATATCACAAAGGGAAAGTTGGGTTTGAGTTTGGGGGTAATTGCCCTAAACGTTTAGGAATTTGAGGCCAAAAAGGGGCCAAAAAACAAGCATTTTTCTAGTTTCCAGACAATAACTTGTGTTCAAGTGTATGGATCTCTCTGAAATTGTACTGCAAGGTACCCGATACCACAAAGGGAAGGCTGGGATTGAGTTTGGGGCTGAATCATAAGGGGTTCAAAAAATTAGGGGGGGGATTTTTTTTCCCTTTTTTTTCTTTTAAAATTTTCCATTTTAAATTGGTTATTTCTGATTTATATATAAAAGCAAATAATAATGATATGGTTTGAATAGGTAAATTAAAAAAAAATAAGTTCTTAGACCACTTTCATTCTGTGTCAGAAACCTATGCTGTGTCAAATATTTAATCACAATCCAAATTCAGTGCTGTATCAAGCTTGAATGTTGTGTCCATACTTGCCCCAACTGTTCAGGGTTCCACCTCTGCGGTCGTATCAAGCTGCGCCCAGCGGAGCATTTTATTAATTCTTTATCTGTAAATATACAACAGTTCAGATATTTAGTTGGTACATTATCTTTGTTGTTTCTGACAAGTGGAAACATTTAATTGCATGCAACTTAATAAATGTCAATCGACAATGTAGGATATTAACTGAGACAATTGTTACTGACAAGTGGAAACATTTAATTGCATGCAACTTAATAAAAGTCAATAGACAATGTAGGATATTTACTGAGACAATTGCTTTTAAGTCTCACACTTTTGCCTATCAGTTTCCAAAAGAGAAGTCACTTCTCCTTATTATGATACTGAGGTAGTTAAAAGCAATTGTCAAAAGTCTTTTCTGTATTTGATTAAGACAGTCCCCTGTCCACTGTACTTAGTGTAATTCTTTTACATAAGGATGAAACTAGTATTAATCACAAAAACATTGACTTGGTGGCAATTGCCTTTGTAGTGCTCTCGTGCTTTGTCTTTTTACTGTTGATGTGATTTGTTTTGCCACAATTTGTGTTTTTTGATTTTTCAAGAAAATAAGGCCCATGACCCAATTTTCTTATTTAATATTTCAGATCTATCGTTTAATGTTTCCTCAATAAATAAAAGATAAATTTCCTCTACATATTTCCAGGTTGTATATTTGGTGTATGGAATGATTTTGAGGTGTACATGTTTGTCTGGCAGAATTGATCTGTCACCTTGACCTCATTTCTAGCTCACCTGGCCTGAAGGGCCACGTGAGCTTTTCTCATCACTTGGCGTCCATTGTCCGTCGTTGACATCGTCCGTCGTCGTCGTCATCGTTAACTTTTTACATTTTGAACTTCTTCTAGAGAACCACTAAATGGAATGAAACCAAACATGGCATGAATGTTCCTTATGAGGTGCTGACCAAGTGTTGTTACTTTGAAGCTGATCCATCATCTAAGATGGCCGCCAGCGGGGGACTTAGTTTAACATAGGACCCTATGGGAAATACATACAAATGTCTTCTTTTAGAGAACCACTGAATGAAATGAAACCAAACATGGTATGAATGTTCCTAATGAGGTGCTGACCAAGTGTTGTTACTTAGATGCCGATCCATCATCCAAGATGGCCACTTTGGGGGGGGGGACTTAGTTTAACATAGTAGCCTATGGGAAATACATACAAATGTCTTCTTTTAGAGGACCACTGAATGGAATTAAATCAAACATGACATGAATGTTCCTTATGAGGTGCTGACCAAATGGTGTTACTTTGAAGCCGATCCATCATCCAAGATGGCCGCTTTGGGGGGGACTTAGTTTAACATAGGACCCTAAGGGAAATACATACAAATGTCTTTTTCTAGGGAACCACTCAATGGAATGAAACTAAACATTGCATGAATGTTCCTTATGAGGTGCTGACCAAGTGTTGTTACTTTGAAGCTGATCCATCATCCAAGATGGCCGCCAGCGGGGGGACTTAGTTTAACATAGGAGCCTATGGGAAAATACATACAAATGTCTTCTTTTAGAGAACCACTGAATGGAATGAAATCAAACATGGCATGAATGTTCCTTATGAGGTGCTGACCAAGTGTTGTTACTTTGAAGCCGATCCATATTCCAAGATTCCAAGATGGCCGCCAGCGGGAGACTTGGTTTAGCATAGGACCCTATTGACAATACATACAAATGTCTTCTTTCAGAGAACTACTGAATGGATTGAAACCAAACATGGCATGAATGTTCCTTATGAGGTGCTGACTAAGTGTTGTTACTTTGAAGCTTATCCATCATCAAGATGGCCGCCAGCAGGGGACTTTTTTTAACATAAGACCCTATGTGAAATACATACAAATGCTTCTTCTAGAGGTGCACGGAAATGGAATGAAACCAAACATGGCATAAATGTTTCTTATGAGGTGCTGATGAAGTGTTGCTACTTTGTTGCCGATTTACTGTTCAATTTTTTATTAAATTACAGGGCCAATATTAAACCAAATTTGGCCTCACTCATTATTAGGTATCTATCAAATGTCTGTCATGATTTTAATCTATTTTTACATGATTTCCAAAACGAAAGTAGAATCAGGTGAGCGACACAGGCTCTTGAGAGCCTCTAGTTTAAAGGTTCATATCATTTTTTTTTGTGTTTTTTCTTGGATGCTTGAAACTACAGTAGACTCCGGCAAATCGGATACCCAAAATGTCAGCTAAAAATATCCGATTACCCGATATATTCAATTAGACGATGAATGTATATTCATTGAATATTCTGCAATAATGAGTAGATATAATCCTGAGATGTTACTAACCCTGACAATTGCTAAATATGTGAAAGGGCTGGAGGATTGATGGAGTGATTTTTATCAGTTACATCACCACGATGTTTGTGTAAAAAAATTATCAGCTGATTATGTAATGATTAAATTTGTTTGCAGTTTTTAAATCCTTTATTTATTAAAATAAATCAAATGTTCTGAAATATTTATGTGAATTATTATCTACCATCCATAGTTTGTCTTTATTTGTTTTGTAAGCAAATTAATATCCACTATTTACATTATCACACAGGTAAACTAATTTGGCTATAAATAGATCTAAGCATGTCTGTGTAGAGTCTCCAAACTAAAATCGTTTTTGTTATAATTTTATTTCTTGAAATAATCAGATTTAAATTTATAAAAATAATCATGATTGATAAAATATTATTGCATAAAGTTTACGTTTTCTGAAGACTATTTATATTTAGGTCATAGTTCTAGAGGCTTCCTCACAAATTTGTAAACATCCAAAATGGCGTCCATGACATGTGGTTACTTTTGCACATGTGAAAAAAATATATCTGACAAAAGTCAGATTTCTCTTGTCAAAAGGGATTTATGTTTATATTGCAATAAATTATTCAGAAGAAGGTACATTCAGTTTAGATTATATTTCTGATTCTGTGAACATTTAGAGTTTAATCAAAATTCTACAAACAGCAACGTCAACTTGTCAACTGAGTCTTGCATAATTTATAAATAAATTCAAACCATTTGAAGTAAAAGGGCATCTAATTCACATTACAAAGGAAGACAATGATTAAAGACAACAATTTATTAAGAAATAGTTCCTTTTATTTAGTAAAAACAAAATCTTCTTGTCTGCAAGATTGTAAATTCGTAACTTCCGGGTATATTTCCTGTCAGAAAAACATCGAAAATATCCGATTGTGCATGGTTTTGAACAAAATGACCTGAATATTCTTATCCGATTTGCCGATATATTCTTATATCCGATATTCGATTACCCGATAAAATTAACATTAAACATATAGGGAAGGGTTTGGTGTTTTGAAATAATATTACAATAGCCGATATATTCGTTTAGCCGATATCCGATTAGGTGAAGTCTACTGTATCTACAACCAACCTAATTTGTAGCTAAACAGGCTCACCAGACAAGTCAAAGTGAGCAAGATTATCACCCTAAGATTTCTAACTTTTCTCTAAAGCAGCATCAAGGAGAATATAAAAATAAGGAGATGCAGTATGATTACCAATGAGACAACTATCCACAAAAGTTCAAAAGCAAATGGATGTAAGCCATTATAGACAATCGTATAACAATGAGAAAACCCTATACCGTATACTCGGCTATAAAAAGGTCCGACATGAAAAATATGAAACATTTTTTTTTATTTTACTGTTAATGAGAAGTTTGTTAGTCCCTTGATTTTCAGTAAATTTCCTGTTGCAGCCTCATCATTTTTTTAAAATTCGTGATCTGAATGCACATAAGCCTGATGTCAATCTGGTAAATTTAAGGGGACTGTTCACCTTTGACATATGACCCATTTTATCCAAGTTGAAAATTCAGGTTTGTTTAATTACAATTTATTCTATAATTGAAAATGCAGGACTGTACTTTCAAACTGGATATCTATTTCCTAATTTAATTAATAAAAGAAGTAATCTTGCAAGCACTAGCCTAATCTTGCTTTTTTCAATACCGCTCATCCTGTCTACCAAATGTTGAATTCATTACTCCATATACTGAACTTACTTTTATTATTTTGTTTTTAGGCGACATGAAATAAATAAGATGCCAGATTCAGAAGAAGATTTAGGAGTATGGTTACGTGATTTATTTAAAGAAAAGGTCTGTATTTTTAGTGTACTGTTTCATAAGGACTGTGTCAGGTTTTGAGATCACTTTGTGTGAATTCTATATGTATTTTTTTTTTTACTTTTGCTGCTAAGTGTTGCTTGAACTAATTACAATAATTTTCTTTTTAAAGCTTAAAATAATAAAAAAAAAAAACGATGAAAAACAAGTTTTCAGTATAATATACATAAAACCAAACATTGTAAACTTAGAACTCTTAGATTTTGAAAGGTGATTTATAATATCTGCTTCAAGGGGAAGTCCTTAGATATAGCTATTAAAACCATATTTTTATAATATATATTGTGGAAAAATATAAATCACTAATATTTAGTTAAAAAGACTACATGTACAAACATTTTTTATCCCCCCTCTTGCTGTAGGCAATGGGGGCATTAAGTGTTAAGTGTTACCCTAGCCTAGATCGTCCGTCCTTCCATCCCTCCCATTTTCTTTTCCATACTCTTAAAAGTTTGCCTCATCCAAATTTTATAAAACACAATGATATGAACCACAACATGCAGACAAAATTTAAATTTGGCAGTATTTCATTAACTGTTTTAGAGTTATGCCATTTATAACTTGGAAAATTACAAATGTATTCCAACTATATTTTAAAAACTATCCTTCCAGCAAGCTATAAAGGGCCCCAAAAATTACTAGTATAAAACCAACTTTCTAATCTATATAAAAAACAAGAAACTAGAAACACTTATGAACCACATCAACAAACAACAACTACTGAACATCAGATTCCTATCAGTCTTGATATTCAAACATATTTTGTACTTGATGAAAATACATAACATATATAAAGATTGAGACTGAACACAAATATGACAACTGACATTTTAGACAAAAACCATCTGGAAAGTGAAGATTCATGGCATATTTGATAGATTTTTGAATTTGATGGTCTTTAATGGCCAAATCAGTTCAAATCTTTTACTTAAACTAATTGAATTGCAACACTTAAGACTACTTAAGCAAATATATCTATTAGTTTTCATTTTTATTTTTAAACAGTATAAAATCTTTTTTAAAGGAGTTTTCATTTTTATAAGACCGCAAAAAAATTTTGCAGTCGTATATTGGTATGACGTTGGCGTCGCTGTCGTCGTCCAAAGACACATTGGTTTTCACACTCTAACTTTAGTTTAAGTGAATGGATCTCTATGAAATTTTACCATAAGGTTCAATACCACAAAAGGAAGGTTGGGATTGATTTTGGGGGTTATGGTACCAACAGTTAAGGAATTAGGGGCCAAAAAGTGGCCAATTAAGCATTTTTGTAACTTCCAGACATAACTTGTGTGTTAGTGTATGGATCTCTCTGACATTGTACCACAAGGTTCCATATCACAAAGGGAATGCTGGGATTGATTTTTGGGGTAATTGCCTCAAAATTTTAGGAATTAGATGCCAAAAAAGGGGCGAAAAACAAGCATTTTTCTAGTTTCATGACAATAACTTGTGTGTAAGTGTATGGATCTTTCTGAAATTGTACTACAAGGTTCCATATCACAAAGGGAAAGCTTGAATTGAGTTTGGGGGTAATTGTCTAAAACGTTTAGGAATAAGGGGCCAAAAAGGGGCAAAAAACAAGCATTTTTCTAGTTTCAAGACAATAACTTGTGTGTAAGTGTATGGATCTTTCTGAAATTGTACTACAAGGTACCATATCACAAAGGGAAAGCTGGAATTGAGTTTGGGGGTAATTGCCCAAAACGTTTAGGAATAAGGGGTCAAAAAGGGGCCAAAAATAAGCATTTTTCTAGTTTCCAGACAATAACTTGTGTTCAAGTGTATGGATCTCTCTGAAATTGTACTGCAAGGTACCATACCACAAAGGGAAGGCTCGGATTGATTTTGGGGGAATTGCCTCAAAATTTTTGTAATAAGGGGCCAAAAAGGGGCAAAAAACAAGCATTTTTCTAGTTTCCGGACAATCACTTGTGTGTAAGTGTATGGATCTTTATGAAATTGTACTACAAGGTTCCATATCACAAAGGGAAAGCTGGGTTTGAGTTTGGGGTTAATTGCCCAAAACGTTTAGGAATTTGGGGCCAAAAAGGGGCCTAAAAACAAGCATTTTTCTAGTTTCCAGACAATAACTTGTGTTCAAGTGTATGGATCTCTCTGAAATTGTACTGCAAGGTACCATACCACAAAGGGAAGGCTGGGATTGAGTTTGGGGTTGATGAATCATCAGGGGGTTCAAAAAATTTTTGGGAGGGATTTTTTTCCCCTTTTTTTCCTTTTTTTTTTCTTTAAAATTTTCCATTTTAAATTGGTTATTTCTGATTTATATATAAAAGCAAATAATAATGATATGGTTTGAATAGGTAAATTAAAAATGTGTTCAAGGGGTTATGGTACCAACAGTTAAGGAATTAGGGGCCAAAAAGTGGCCAATTAAGCATTTTTGTAACTTCCAGACATAACTTGTGTGTTAGTGTATGGATCTCTCTGACATTGTACCACAAGGTTCCATATCACAAAGGGAATGCTGGGATTGATTTTTGGGGTAATTGCCTCAAAATTTTAGGAATTAGATGCCAAAAAAGGGGCGAAAAACAAGCATTTTTCTAGTTTCATGACAATAACTTGTGAGTAAGTGTATGGATCTTTCTGAAATTGTACTACAAGGTTCCATATCACAAAGGGAAAGCTTGAATTGAGTTTGGGGGTAATTGTCTAAAACGTTTAGGAATTAGGGGCCAAAAAGGGGCAAAAAACAAGCATTTTTCTAGTTTCAGGACAATAACTTGTGTGTAAGTGTATGGATCTTTCTGAAATTGTACTACAAGGTACCATATCACAAAGGGAAAGCTGGAATTGAGTTTGGGGGTAATTGCCCAAAACGTTTAGGAATAAGGGGTCAAAAAGGGGCCAAAAATAAGCATTTTTCTAGTTTCCAGACAATAACTTGTGTTCAAGTGTATGGATCTCTCTGAAATTGTACTGCAAGGTACCATACCACAAAGGGAAGGCTCGGATTGATTTTGGGGGAATTGCCTCAAAATTTTTGTAATAAGGGGCCAAAAAGGGGCAAAAAACAAGCATTTTTCTAGTTTCCGGACAATAACTTGTGTGTAAGTGTATGGATCTTTATGAAATTGTACTACAAGGTTCCATATCACAAAGGGAAAGCTGGGTTTGAGTTTGGGGTTAATTGCCCAAAACGTTTAGGAATTTGGGGCCAAAAAGGGGCCTAAAAACAAGCATTTTTCTAGTTTCCAGACAATAACTTGTGTTCAAGTGTATGGATCTCTCTGAAATGGTACTGCAAGGTACCATACCACAAAGGGAAGGCTGGGATTGAGTTTTGGGGTGATGAATCATAAGGGGGTTCAAAAAATTAGGGGGGGGGATTTTTTTTACCCTTTTTTTCTTTTAAAATTTTCCATTTTAAATTGGTTATTTCTGATTTATATATAAAACCAAATAATAATGATATGGTTTGAATAGGTAAATTAAAAAAAATTAAGTTCTTAGACCACATTCATTCTGTGTCAGAAACCTATGCTGTGTCAAATATTTAATCTCAATCCAAATTCAGTGCTGTATCAAGCTTGAATGTTGTGTCCATACTTGCCCCAACTGTTCAGTGTTCGACATCTGTGGTCGTATCAAGCTGTGCCCAGCGGAGCATTTTATTTTATTACATAATTTTGCTTTTTTATATATCTTGATTTTTTTTAATTTGAAATTGATGGCTGATGGCTAATAGTCAGTCAATCTATGCAGAAAAGGCTTTGACATATCAGACAAAAATTAATAATAATAATAATATTTCTTTATCTAAAGAGGGTTACACAGTAAGCTACAAAACTTCCCTGAGGCCCTCATGAATTACATTGAAATATAAAAAACAAAGAATAACAAAATAATCAAACAAACACACATATTAGGAAAAATGAGAAATTGTTATGAAGTATATGATTTTCAAAACAGGTAAAAATAGTGAAATCATATTGTATTGGCATCATTCAAATTACCGCAACAATAAATAAGCGTAAATGAGTGTAAGCAAGTGTGTGAAAAATTATTTTGCATAATCGCAACAGGAACTACATGAGTTTATTTTGTGTCCAGAATGTCATCATATATTTGATATACTAAAAGTTTACAACTTTAGAAGTGTTAGAAACAAATGGTTTTGGATTCAAATCATCTGTTTAAAAAAAAAAAAAATCAATGAAGACTAAGAAATTTTTATGATATTAATGAAACAGCATCTTTGTAACAATAAGATTTTATCTGAATCATCACAAACATGAGTGTATAAGGAAACTGACAAAATTCTCATGACCAGAAATAATAATTTTAGGCAAAAATATTATATCTCAGAAAATAGGAAACAGGAAAATTTTCAATTGTGATTCAATTTGAAACAATACAAACATAATTGTAAAAGGAAACTAACAAATTTTGCGACCAGAAATTACTAATCTTAGTTTAAAACTAAGATTTGTATCATGAAATCTTGGAAAACAGGAAACCTAAAATTTTGTCAATTTTTATGAGAAAGTGGAAATATTTAAAATCACTTATGACAAGCTATGTCTATAATATTTTCTGAACAAGTCAAATCACTCATTACAAAGAGTGTCTATAATATGTATACTGAAAAAGTAGAAATATTTAAAATCACATATATATCTCAGTCGAAAGATTCCTTTAAATAAAATCATACCAAAACTGAGAAGAAAATAAATTGCATATCATGTTTTTGTTGAAACCTCTGATAAAGATATGTTTAGAACTTAAATTTCTTAAAATTATGTTTACATTGTTCCAGAACCTTAAATGAAATATGGACTGGGATAATTTGAACTGTATTAGTTTGGCTATTACACAGATTATAACTGGTAAATTCGGTAAAAAGGGGTGGCATAATATCTTTAAGATAATCAGGATACCGAATAATAATGTGCATGTATATAAATATAGTAAATTTCTAATGATAGCCAATTAGACAAGTATCTACCAGGGTCCAACATGATGCAGATCTAAGCAGAAATTGATCACTGTATGCAGGTATTCAACAGTGAGCAAAACCCCTATAAAAAGCCCCCTGCATTACAATACATACCAGAAAAACAATGGCCTGAATTATGACAAAACGAAAAACTACTATGACATAAAGCCTATCTATTGATATTGCTATAAAAATGTCCAAAGTGAGTTTTCATACTATTCCTTTTAAACAAATCTTCTATAGTTTGTAAGAATAAGACATCAGTTTGTATTTTCAGTACAATATATGTTAAGTTACAATATGCTGTCAATAAGTTTCCTTAAGGAGATAATTTAATATATTTTTTTATATGAATATTGATCTCATCTCCCAGCCTTTAAAACTTCATAAAATCATATATAGAAAAAACAACATTTTTAGAAGAGATAATTCAAAAACTGTGGATTCATTATAATTCGTTGGACCAATTTTCATGGATTTTGTGGGTCCAGTTCAACTGCTGTTTAACCACGAAATTAAATGTTTATCGAATGACAAATTTTCTTAAGGCTTGTATGCAAACTTCGTCAAAACCACGAAATTAAATATCCACCAACATGTAAGTTTTCCTTCATCTACGGAAATTGGTACCCACAACAATAAATGAATCCACAGTAATAGAAATTTGTTTGGCAATTCAAAAATAACACCTCTCACCTTTCAAATGACTCATTACTATAAAATATCTACAGACATTTTAGGCAAATCTTTCATAACAGCCATTAAGTGGAATTCCAATCTTTATTGAGTGTAATCATGCTTTATCTCATAACTTTGCACTTTGATGACTTGACTGTGCTTTTCTACAGTAGTTGGTTAAATAAATGACCAGTAGAACAGTTTGATAAGACGAAACAAATTTCACTTGAATCAGAACATTGAACTAATTGCAAAAGGTGTTCAGTAACACAGACAATCAAGTCATTGTAACACAAACAATCAAGTCACTGTTTCACACACACAATTAACTTACTGTAAACAAAGAATCAAGTCACTGTGACACACACAATCAAGTCACTGTAACACAAACAATCAAGTCACTGTAACACAAAAAATCAAGTCATTGTAACACATTTAATCAAGTCACTGTAACACAAACAAACAAGTCACTGTAACACAAACAATCAAGTCTCTATAACTCATTCAATCAAGTCACTGTAACACACGCAATCAAGTCACTGTAGCACTGATTATCAAGTCACTGTAACACACACAATCAAGTCACTGAAACATAAACAATCAAGTCACTGTAACACACACACAGTCAAGTCATTGTAACACAAACAATCAAGTCACTGTAACATAAACAATCAAGTCTCTGAAACACACACAATCAAGTTACTGTAACACAAATAATCAAGTCAAGTCACTGTTACACAAAATCAAGTCACTGTATCACTGATTATCAAGTCACTGAAACACAATTAATCAAGTCACTGTAACACACACAATCAAGTCACTGTAACACACACAATCAAGTCACTGTAACACACAAGCAAGTCACTGAAACACGAAAATGATCAAGTCACTGTGATACAATCAAGTCACTGTAACACATTTAATCAAGTCACTGTTACACACACAATCAAGTCACTGTTACACAGACAAACAAGTCACTGTAACACACACAATCAAGTCACTGTAACACAAACAATCAAGTCATAGTAACACAAACAAACAAGTCACTGTAACACAATTAATCAAGTCATTGTAACACACACAATCAAGTCACTGTAACACACAATCAAGTCACTGTAACACAAACAATCAAGTCATATTAACACAAACAAACAAGTCACTGTAACACACAATCAAGTCACTGTAACACACACAATCAAATCACTGTAACACAACAGTCAAGTCACTGTAACACAAACAATCAAGTCACTGTAGCACTGATTATAAAGTCACTGTAACACACACAATCAAGTCATTGTAACATAAATAATTAAGTCATTGTAACACAAACAATCAAGTCACCATATCACAAACAATCAAGTCACTGTAACATAAACAATCAAGTCACTGTAACACACATAGTCAAGTCACTGTAACACAAAAAATCAAGTCACTGTAACACACACAGTGAAGTCATTGTAACATAAACAATCAAGTCACTGTAACACAAACAATCAAGTCACTGTGACACACACAAATATTTGATCAAGTTTCAAAATAAATTTTTATTCTTTTTTCAGGATGATTTAATAGATGAATTTAAGAAGACAGGAAAATTTGATCTTCCAGCTTATCATGTTCCTAGAAAATATAATGATTTGTTGATATGGCTGGCATGGGCAACAGTAACGTGTTTGCCTTTGTTTTATTTCCTTGGACAAATATTTATATCAGGAACTTTCCTACAACAAGTGTTCATTATTGGTTTATTTTTGTTCAGTAAGTATTACTTTTCTATGCCTAACAATAGCTTATATGCTCACATCCTGTGTCAGAACAGCCACATATATTCCTTATATCATTTCCTAAATATTTACTCCCGGAAACAGCTGACTATATACTGTGGATTCATTATTATTCGTTGGATACCAATTTTCATGGATTTCGTGGGTGAACCACGAAATTAAATGTTCAATGAATAACAAAATTTCTATAGGCTTGTATGCAGACTTTGGCAAAACCACGAAACTAAATATCCACGAACATGTAAGTTTTCCTAAATCCACGAAAATTGGTACCCACGAAAAATAAATGAATCCACAGTATGCTAACTCTAATGAACAGCTGTTCAATATACAAGATTTCAGTATTGTGTTCTGCTTTTCCTTAACCTTAATTATCTCCATGCAAGAAGTCGCATAAGGCCTCCACAGTTCAACGTTTCTGAAAGCTCATTTTAACTAAGTTAGGTTGTTAGCCCAACGTCAAACATCCACTTTGGTTGATGGGTTTTCTCTCTAGGTTCATGTAGTTCTTCCCGTAGATGATTGCATGACCATGCTAACAGATTGCATCTGTCCAGATTTCTTTCTGGCTTGTCTACCATAGCATTTGACTTTCCACGGTCAGCCACAAGGCAGTGGGGCTATTTACCCATAGCTGGGGGTTTGGTTTGCTAATACCATGGCATACCTACTCACCGGTGGGTCTAGCATGACTTGCATCTAGGTACCAAACCTCTTCCAAGAACTTGTAGTTCTGCCTGAGGCTGTAAGGTGCCAAATTTTCATCCGTCACCATCGGGAGGATCCCATATCTGGGCCACACAGGTCTTACTGCATTAGAGGCTATAACTGGCAGGAATGAATGGCACATTCAGCTTTCCCTTTCTCAGCAAGCTGCTAGCCAGTGATGAATGCTGAAAGCAAGAGTGACTGGCACAGACACCACAATGCACAAACAGGTGCACATCACAGTCATTTGACAAATGTTCCACTTTTCTAGTAAACATTTAATTTTCATTCTTGAGCAGCTAAAATGAAAGTTAAAAAGATACCAAGCGTAAAATGAGAAAACTGCCATTGCAAAAAAGAAAATGACAAATAGACAAAAAAAATTATTCAAGACACAACACAGAATACTAAAGATTGAGCAACACAAACTACACGAAAGGCATGAACAGGTCTCTAGTAGTCTGGAGATGTTGACAATTCCTACTCCACTATTCATGTTACCCATATCAAGTAAAAATCTAATAATAAGTTATATTCAATGCCATCTTGGAAAAGAAAAGGAGGACAGGGTTTCACTGTTAATATATTCTATCAGAAATCAGTCCCAAACAAAAAATTCGCTGAAACTGACATTATTAAGATTTCTTGATTGACAACATATTTGTTACCTTTGGAGGACGTGTTTTTCAACAAACAATCGGCATTCCCATGGGAACCAACTGTGCTCCTCTTCTTGCCAACTTGTTCCTTTATTCACATGAGACTGACTTCATACAGGAACTTCTTAGGAAGAAAGAAAAGAAGTTAGCATTATCCTTAAATTTCACTTTCCGCTATATAAATGATCTTCTCTCAGTAATCAACTGTAAATTTGGTGACTATGTTGAACGCATCTATCCCGTCGAACTTGAGATAAAGGATACAACAGATACATTTAAGTCTTGTCTCATATCTTGACTTACACCTAGAAATTTACAAAAGAGATGTTTTCAGCTTCCAAATTGTGAACTATCCATTTCTATGTAGCAACATTCCAGCAGCACCTGCATATGGAGTATTTATCTCCCAGTTGATAAGATATTCCACTGCTTGTGTTTCCTATCATGGTTTCCCTGATAAAGAGTTGCTCCTCACAATGAAGCTAATTAAACCAAGAGTTCCAAGTGGTGAAGTTGAAATCATCCCTTCGTAAATTTTAGGGATGGCATCACGAGTTGGTTGACCTTTATGGAATATCTGTTTCAGAGATGACAATGGATATGTTCAAATTGTTGTAACTACAATCTTGTCCCCTTCCCCCAAATATGACCTTCTGAATTAGATATATCACCAGGTTTCTACTTAAGCAACACCACGAGTGCCACATGTGGAGCAGTATCTGCTTACTGTTCTGGAGCAACTGAGATCACCCCCAGTTTTTGATGGTGTTTGTGTTTCTATTTTAGCCATGGCGTCTCATATTATTTTCGACTTGTGAGTTTGAATGTCCCTTTGGTATCCTTTGCCTCTCTTTTCCCATTTAATCAAAATCATAATCTGACCCTTTTATAACACATTTCTGTAATCAATGACTACCTGTTTATTTTATGCATTTTCAGTGTCTGTAGCAGCCAAATGGTTAATAGGATGGACAGAAACAAAGAAAGGATCAAAATATGGAATCAAAGAAAATGGAAAGAACAAATAACAAGACAAGTCTCTTATACTGTGATATTTTTCTTAAGAGTGTTACCTCATGCTGTGTCAAAGTTTGTTATGAGTCTTTCTGTAGATTCTATGGATATTTTCATTTGATATAATAGGATTCCTGGATTAAGGAAACAGATTTTTCCTAAATGGTTGATTTTGATGGATTATTCATGTACACCTCTAGATAATCTGTATTAAGTTGAACGCTTTAATTCATGGGCTACCTTTACCCATTTAAAATCCACCAAAAATGTGTCCAGGATGATAAAATTGTTCTTTTTTTTCAGCTATACATACATACATAGATAAGAATTGAGATAATATTTGTATTCAGATATTGAATAATAAGTGAGATAAATTACATGTGTCCAAATCACTTTTCTGAGTTAACCTTCATTAGGAATGCTCAGAGCCGAATATGTGCAACCTGAGGATGTATAAGAACCAAAAGAGCCAAAGAGCTACATGACCAAAAAAGGACCTAAAAACAATAGCCAAATCCATTATAAAACCATTTATGTTGTTTTACAATCATATCCCCAAGATGTAATATTTTCACAGACAAAGCAATTGTTTATGATTTAATCTGTTAATAAACCATAAAACTTACAATTTTTTAAAGTAAATTTGAAATTATAACCATGTTGTTTTCTTTGATTTAGTTGTATGTAAATTGTTGTGAGAATACCATATGCACTATGTGATCGGCTCCCTGAGGTTGATAAACTGTTTATTAAGTAATCTATGTAAGGACCCCCATGATGAAAAAAAAACTAATATTGAATAAAATGAAAACTGACTGCCTTATAATATTTGTTTGTAAAAGGATCTCTACTACTACTAATAGCGGACTGTTACCTTGTGAGCTAGCACGTTAAACATCCGGCTCAGCCTGTCGGTCTAGTACAAAGTACGGTAAATATTCATATTACATTAACATGTTCTCATCCTGATTATGCATATTAATTTTTTCGCTGGACGTTAAGCAGCCATCCATCATCATCATCTACTTACGGATAACTACCAAATGACAAATATATGAAAATTGAACTGTGTCACATAGGACCCTAGGAAAATTATGTTCAATAACCTTATTAAAATATGTCTTTTAAAGTAACTTTATTAAGGTTATGTATATAATATTTAATTGGTATACCAATTAGTAAAATCTACACTTGCCAAAAATTTATGTTTGTGATGTTATCAATAACTTGTGAATTTTAGTTTTTTTTCAAATTGTTAAGGTTGTTATATATGAACTATATATTTCTTGTTTATATTGATACATGTATTGTTGTTGTCTAAAATTCGATATGTTATCATACTATTTCTCTTTTTCATTTAGCATGTAGTTTTTGTTCTATCCAGTCTACTAGTAAAGAAGTATCTATTATAAATTTTATCTATTTCATATTTACTGCCATTACATAAGATATGAATAATATTTGTTTCCTTATATTATATATAAATATTGTGTCAGTACTACTACCACGAAGTATCTTACATTTTGCTTTAAGGTAGATGGGGTCTGAATTTAAAGCGATACAACTGTTTCAACAATTTAAAAAAAATAAAAAGTGTGAGTAACAGTGCTGACTTTTGGTTTTGAGCAAATACAAACATGATGTCAGTAGTACTGCCAATAATACGCTTAGATTTCTTTATCTTTGCTCACTTTTGGTTTTAGAAATACCTTATAATTTGTTATCAAGAACGACATTTAATGAGCACAGAAGTCATAGCATTGTCTCATTAACACTCATACCACATCTTCTTATATCTATATATAGCAGATGTATGTTTTCTGTATACTGACCAGTTTTTTAACACAAGTCTACAAAACACCTCATAGAAAATAAAAAGACTAAGGAACAGCAATTATACCATGGTACTTACGAAAGGTAGGTCATTCCTGCTACATATGTGACACACATTATGTTGTTCATGGAACTCTTAAGACTAAGAAACACCAACTTCACCATGATTTAGTACTTAGGAAAGGTAGTAGATCCTGCTACATATATATGTGACATTCGTTATGTTCATTGAATTTTAGAAGAATATAAAATGTTAGGGGGGTTTCATGTTGAACTGAAAATAATTTATATTATATGCATCATAGAAGTACAGGCCCCTAAAGTTCACGATATTAATAATTGTCTTTTTTCCCATATTTGTAATTATTTACTTCATTTTATTCTATTTTTATAAAAACTGCTCATAGTTTCCCATAGAAACGAAAGACGATCCTTACTCTAAAATTACAACAAGGTAAGTAGTTCCTGCTACATATGTGACACTGGTTAAGTTGTTCATTGACGTTTAGAAGAATATAATATATTAAGGGGATTTCATGTTGAACAGAGAAACTAATTTATATTATATATATATCATAGAAGTACATACCCTAAAGAGGATTTTTACTCTAAAACTACAATTTTACACCAACATATATAATGTATAATGATACTTTTTATATGGCAATCATAACATTGTTGTGGATAGAGAAAAATATATTGTTCTGTGAAGTCTTTATATCTTGATGTATCCACAGTTTGAGATACACATTTCCTATTGTTCTGAATTCAGTGTGTATCATGTGTATTCTCATTATCTTTCCAAAGATTCACATGTGAAATAGAAAATATTTGATGAAATATAATAACATATTGAACTATGAATGCTTTAATTTCTAACATGTATTATATTTGTTTTAAGATTTGTTTTTGTATTCTTTTTCAAAGTAGAAGAATTCTGTAAACAGTTGTATGTTCATGTTTTACATTTGATATAACTTGTGGCTTTTTTTTCAAGTATCCCTTGAAATCTTGTGAATATAACATACATATTCAAAAATATTACTTAACCATTTTTCTCACCTGTTCTTGGATTCAGGGAGATTTAAAATACATTTTTCAGAATAAGCATTTTGCATAAAACAATTATATGTAAATATTGTCTACACCATAGTACAGTCCATAACAACCAAATTATAAATAGCATTGACATGTTTAATAACATTAACAGTACCCTTTTTTATGCACAAGATGCGCATTTCAGCATGTAATTTCTTTTCCTGGAAGCTGGATGCCAAACTATTTGAAAATATAAAACATACTACAAACGTCACTGTACATTATATGCAAAGAAAAGAAAATCTCTAAAATGTAATTTCTAACAAGGCTGACATCAATATATATCTTGGGGTCCTTCACTTATATCCCAATAAGATTATGCCACATATAAAAGAGAATCATTTGTCTTGTCAAGAGAAAAATAACTTTTTAATTATGATAAGAGATGTTTGAACGTTCCAAAAAATCAGAGGAGCAAAAATACATGTCATGAATTTCTGCAAACAAAATATTTCAACAAGTTACCTATTAAAATTATGTCAGATACGAAACGAGAATCATACAATATTTGCCTGAACACTTTGACCACACATTTTAGGTTCATACATTTTGTATAGGTTAAAAATAGACTTGCACCAATGTATTTATTCTTTATTTAGTTACATTTTAATAATAGATCAACACATCTGTGTGACTATTGTCATTTGTTAGTGTTTATACTTTTTGACACCTGTTGGAGGACCTTTCTTTATTTTTGAATTAGATGCATTTTATTATTTTTCTGTTACAAAACATCATCTCATTCCTGTTAGTACTTTGAATCAGTATCGAAAGCATAGTTTGTTAAATTCTTTGTTGATTATTATTATTTATTTCACTTGTCTAGTTATGGCTTAAAACAATACGTAATTCAAAGATACTTTATTATAAATAAAGAAGTGGGAGGATGTTTTAATCTTTTTACAACCTGTATTTGCTAGTTATAGATTATATACGATTGAAAAAATTACTTAATGGAGCCCATTTGATGACCAAAAATTGTGTTTCTCTTTGGTTTTTCATAGTATTGCTGGGTAGTGATCATCTTGTAATTAAATTATTGTGAAATAGATAGTATTGCAAAATTCGCCAGTAGTATCTAATCTATTTAAGGTATAATCTACCAGGTGGTCTCTTTCGTATATTTGATATTACGCATTTGATTGCAAGTTGTTTGTTTGCTAATGAGTTGTGTTTTTCACATAGTTGCCTTGAATGATTTTGTTAATTTATGAAGTTTAAATGAATATATGCTTTTTTATTGCAATGAATAAAAAACCGAATGTTGTTTATAATTAAAATATATAATTAAGTTTGAAATATATATAATGTGTGTTGTGGTAGCATAATTGCCTTGAGTGAGGGAGGTCGTGGATTCGAAACTTGACTGGGTCATACCAAAGGCTCTAAAATTGGTATTTGCTGCTTCTCAACTGTGCAGCCGCTTTAAGGAGTAAGAGCAAGAACAGGTCGGTTCGGAGTCAGAAAAATTTGTCCGGGTAGAGTGACATGTCTTCCAGCTATTGAGTGTTACCTTCTGAACTAGCATGTTAAAATAATAATAATATAACATTAACATGTTTCTGTCCAGAAGTCAATACATTTGCTGCTGGACGTTAAACAGCCATTCATCATCATTATCATCACAATAATCAACTTATTTTTACTTGCTTCAGTATAGCATATGATAATTTTAACAATTGGCTCAACTGATTTTTGTGTTATAATATTGTAATTTATGATTCTTACACAAAGTGATATCTGTCTCTGTCTTTAAAAGAAAATCTGTATTGATTGTGATCCACTGACACATTTCGTCTTTTATTTACAAAACCTTTCTAGATAGAGAAATAGAATGTTAAGTAGAAGTAAAAAATGCAAAGAGTCTAGTGAAAAACTTTTCTGATCACAATGCATCGGTCGTCTGTCGTCATCCGCCTCATCTTCCGCTGTCCGTTTACTTTTACCAAAATCTTCTCTGAAATTATTTGGCAAAACTTAAAGATTTTAGTTATGATAGTTTACCATGAAGTCTGGTCACATCAATTTGAAACTAAGTACAAAAGTTCATTGTTAGCTTAAACATTATTTGACACTGACCATGAATACATGATAATGTCATGGGCTATGGTGTCTAAGGAGGACATATTGTTTATGATACTGTCATGGGCTATGGTGTCTTAGGAGGACATATTGTACATGATGTCATGGGCTATGGTGTCTTAGGAGGACATATTGTACATGATAATGTCATGGGCTATGGTGTTGTAGGAGGACATATTGTACATGATAATGTCATTGGCTATGGTGTTGTAGGAGGACATTTTGTACATGATAATGTCAAGGGCTCTGGTGTTGTAGGAGGACATATTGTACATGATAATGTCATGGGCTAAGGTGTTGTAGGAGGACATATTGTATATGATAATGTCATGGGCTATGGTGTTGTAGGAGGACATTTTGTACATGATAATGTCATGGGCTAAGGTGTTGTAGGAGGACATAATGTACATGATAATGTCATGGGCTATGGTGGTGTAGGAGGACATATTGTATATGATAATGTCATGGGCTATGGTGTTGTAGGAGGACATATTGTACATGATAATGTCATGGGCTATGGTGTTGTAGGAGGACATATTGTACATGATAATGTCATGGGCTAAGGTGTTGTAGGAGGACATATTGTATATGATAATGTCATGGGCTATGGTGTTGTAGGATATATTGTATATGATAATGTCATGGGCTATGGTGTTGTAGGAGGACATATTGTATATGACAATGTCATTGGCTATGGTGTTGTAGGACATATTGTATATGATAATGTCATGGGCTATGGTGTTGTAGGATATATTGTATATGATAATGTCATGGGCTATGGTGTTGTAGGAGGACATATTGTATATGACAATGTCATTGGCTATGGTGTTGTAGGACATATTGTATATGATAATGTCATGGGCTATGGTGTTGTAGGATATATTGTATATGATAATGTCATGGGCTATGGTGTTGTAGGAGGACATATTGTATATGACAATGTCATTGGCTATGGTGTTGTAGGATATATTGTATATGATAATGTCATGGGTTATGGTGTTGTAGGAGGACATATTGTATATGATAATGTCATGGGCTATAGTGTTGTAGGAGGACATATTATACACGATAATGTCATGGGCTATGGTGTTGTAGGAGGACATTTTGTTTTGCATGTATATTTTTTTTTCTTGTTTAAGCATTACTCCTTTTGTTTTATTTGATTCAAGATTTAAAAATTATGACAACATACATGTACAGTCATCAATTAATTTAAGCTTTTTACATGACTTATAAACTAACAATTTTTTTCGTTTGAAAAAAAAGGGATATGGGTCGAGGGCTGATACCAGGGCCAATATGGAAAATGACATGTAATAATCTATTTATCACATATTTTCAAGGTGGAGGAGAAAAAAAAAGCATATATGAAATTATATTTAATATTTTCAACAAAAATTCAAAAAACTTTTGAAGAAAAAAAATCAAAAAAATGTATCACAGTGAGTTAATAATGATGTTTTTGATTGACAGGTTACCGGAAGTCAAATTCGGGGACACGAAATTGGTTTTCGAGGGCTGATATCGATATTGGCCCCAAGGGCAAATAACCAACCTTGACTTCCGGCTATTATTGACCATGCAAAAACGTACATATTAGTACAAAGTGTGTAATAAAGTTGTCTATTCAATATGTCAAGATCTACATCACATTGAGTCAAGCAAGATGTTAAGATTTTTAACAAGCACAAGACAGGATTCGTAATCAACACCATGTACTAAACATTTAATTTAACAAATACATTTGCTTTTACGGATACATTGTCTACTCAAACATATGCAATGATAAAAAAAAATAGGTTCTACTGCAAAACACATTGTGCTGCACATAAACATGATAAATTGTTGTCATGTTTTTAACTTCGTAGCAATTAACGCAATCAAACAATTCAAAGCAGATTGTTTGAACTTCATCTGTTACCAAAAATAAATGTGTTTGATCTCTGAGTTTTCAAAAAGTCAAAACAATTGTTTAGTTATAGGAAAACCCCAAAATTTTATCCTAAAATTTAGGAGATATATTAAATTGCACATTTTATCCTTTCAACATATTAAAACCTCTTATCAGACTACCTGCTGGTAGAGATTAGAAAGTCAGATGAATGGGTGCGAAACAGTATTTAACCGCTGTTAAATAGTCATAAATCGATTAAGCGAAAACAAATGCAGGTCACCACCAAAAATGAGGGAAACACACCATCGATAAAAGGAAAACAACGCAACAACAGAAACACTGAACTGCTCCAAAAACAAAGGCCAACATACACAGTCACAGAAACGGACTATTTCATAACAACTGCCATATTCCTGAAATTTTTAGAAAAAAATAGTGGTTTGGATCTGGTTTTATGATTAGTCAAACCTCCCGCTTATATGGCAATATTAAAAATACCGTTAAAATGACAACATTACGTGACAGGAATACAGTACAAGTGAACGCAAAAACACATATGAAACTTTAATCTGTAACCTGGTAATTGGAACACGGACCATAGAGAAAAAATACATTCATTTGTAAATTAAATCGGAAAAAATTAGTCTTGTGTAATTCATAATTTGTAGAAGAACACTGTTTTATAGAAAACCTTATAGAGTGAAATATGTTCCAGGAATACAGACATATGTGTTTCTTATATACGGTATATATTTTAAGGAGTTCTTTGTATTTGAAATAATGAGTCACAGAAGTGTATTACTAAAAGTAACACAAGCATATCAGTTGGGATTCCTGGATTTTAATAAGGGGAGACACTAAGACAACGTTAGAAGTATCCACATCCGAATATGACCCTGTTTAAGTCTTGAATTTATTATATAGGAAGATATGTTTTATTTACATCCTCATTTAAAACATAATTCAAAATTTGCCCAGAGTTCAATTTCTTGATAATGAAGAAACTTATGTTTAAGTTTTGTAAATTTCCATGAAGGTTTGACAAAGTTATTTCAAACCTTTCACAACAGAATATACATAATTTATCTGTAAATAGCGGAAGAATGAGTTGAACATCTAAAATTTTACTCTACATGTCAGGTAATTATCGAGTATGAGGAATCTTTTTGAAAAGTGCCCTGAAATTCCTTGAAGTGTGAAAAGGGTTATTTGTATTTTGTTAACTTTAGCCCTAGACTATAGCTAAATGTTTATTAAACAAAAATAAATCATATCATCAGTAAAATACTGAAACAGTTAAAAAAAAACCCACAGAAAACCTTTTTCTTAAGATGCCATTTTTTTTGGTTATGATGAAACTTCTGTCCCTTTTCGTAAAATTCCATAAAGTAATTAATGTCTGGAAACTTTAACAAAAGACTAAATCTAAACATTTTCTTCAAAAATGTCTTTTCTCAGTAAAGTAAGGAAAATTCAGACAAATATTTAAATTTTACTCTTGATTTTGAAGAAGCTAATTATATCATTCAATGATGCTTTGACAAAGTTATAGATGTCTAGAAAAAACTTAAACCTCAGACTGTGTCTCATCATAAATACCGGGCATCAAATGTTGAACCTCAGACACACGTTTTATCTACAAAAGACTCACCAGTAACGCTCGAATAAAAAAAATAATTAAAAGGCTAAAAGTACGAAGTTGAAGAGTATTGGGGACCCAAAATTCATTCTAGTAAACACAAAAATGTTTAAAAAAATAAGTTAATCTAAATAATTAGTAATTTCTTCTTCATATTTATATTGCAGATTTAGTTATAGGCTTTAACAAAAAATAAAAAAAACTCATCACTTATATTCTGTTTTTGAATGGTGGTGTTTATTTTTTTTTTTTTTTTTTTTTTTTTTTTATTTATTTTTTTTGGGGGGGGGGTCCTGGTGTATATAAAATTCAAAAGTCAGAAAAGTTTGCCACTAGCTGTTTCTGATAACAATCTATTTATATGTAGCAGTATTATTACAATCCATAATACACAGGTGGTAATTTCTGGTAATCAAACAATTGCCTGCTGTAAACACAAATAAACAATTGTTTGAATAAATAATTTATCAATAAGCAGTTAATTGGTTAATGTTCTGGCTATTGTGCTGAAGAAACCCAAAATCTGGCGTTTGTCCTATAACTGTGTAGAAAATACTTGTACTTTGATACTTGTTAAATTCTCAATAACAATTAAACCACTAGACAAACAATCCATTGAAATCACATGATGGTACTTATAAACGGAAATGTTATAAGTATATGTTATCATGAATGAATACAATGGAATTCGAA